GCTTCATGTGTGCCTGGCTCACTCTCCTCTTACTCAGCAGCTCTGGGGCTTAGTCTGGATTACTTCACCTGCACAGAATAAAACACTAAGTTTTCCCTCTTATCTGAAGTTATTCTGGCTTCAGCAGTTAACAGATGATGTCACTTATTATTACAAATGTGATAGAAAATATCAGGTTTACGACGTTGTTCCGTTCAGCTTTTTTGGGAGCTGATTCTTAACAAAAGTCACCTCTGAGCTCTTAATAGACAAGAAACTGGAATTTATTCAAGACAAAATGAAGAGAAAACTCTGTTTTTACATAATTCACAACATAAAATCACAACAATTAGCAACTCACTTCATCATTTAAATCTTAATTTTAATTTAGGTATTTCTAGTCCAAATGACTCAAATTTGAGGAAAATCTGCAACAATTTTTGATAATCTGATCTAGATCCATGGGGTAGAACACTTCAATGGATTATTTTTAAATAGCAGATTCACTGAGAAAGCATTTTTACCTGTTATCTTTAAAAATGACCAGTCACTCTGAATGTGGGCCGAATGTGAAAATAGGCTCCTACACCTATTTACTGCTTTAGCCTCTGATAGAAAATAGACAGCTCACCCATCTTGACTTGTACCAGGAAAGGCTGTTGTTGGTTTAGGGTCCAGAAAAGAGCTAGGAATGTCTCAGCTAGTAGAAGCTAACCATTAGCATAAGCAATTCCACCACACAGCAGAACTCCTCCAGGCTTGTGGTATTTGTGGAGATAAAACGTCAACGTTGCAGAGCAAACAAAGTCAGTGGTGGAGTCGTGTAACCCCCAAAATTCCACTTTCTCCGCTCCGCTCCGCCCCCGCTCGCTTCCGAACTCAAATTATACTATACCCGCTCTACAACTGCTCCGCTCCGCCCCCGCCCTCCGCCGCCGCCGCTCGCTTCCGAACTCAAATTATACTATACCCGCTCTACAACGGCTCCGCTCCGCCCCCGCCCTCCGCCGCCGCCCTCCGCCGCCGCTCGCTTCCGAACTCAAATTATACTATACCCGCTCTACAACGGCTCCGCTCCGGTGCGGAGACCTGATGTGCGCAAACAGGCATGCGCGGGATTTTCGAGATCTTGCGATACAGTCCGAGCAATAAACGTGGAAGTTAGATCCAAACACCCGTTGTGTGGGAGAAGCATCGAAATGAACTGTTTAATCTGCCATCATTTGTGTTGAGAGATCAGCAGTGATTGGATCAACAAAGTGTGACTACTTTGATAGTAGAAACTGTATTTATGGCTTATTTTTGTGCATTTAAAGTTCAACCGCCATTGATAGTTGTTAAAAGTTGTTAAACCTGTGCATACGAAACAAAAAAGGCTTTTTATTTATCGATTTATTGTGAAATAACGGAAGTTGTGCTTGCTCCCTTTCCTGTTGGGCGGTTGTGATTTCTGTCCATTGACTGCGGAGGTGCTCCGGCGTCCGGCAAAAATAGAATTGATCCTATTTTTGCTGGATGGCGCGCCGCCCGGCCGCAGTACCGGAACAGCTCTGATTGACTACAACGGGACCGTTTTTGCTGCGGAGTTTGTGCCGGAGCGGAGCGGAGGTAGTGGAATTTTGGGGTTAGGTGAGATGTCCAAATATGGAAGTCCTGCCTTCTGAAGCAACTTTCTCCTCCAGTTGAATTCTACGGCCTCAAACAGGCACATCTTAGCTTTTTTTTTTTTTTTTTTTACAAGGCATTCAATCCTGCTAGAGACCACTGCAATCGTATTAAACATATGAGTAGAGTTGATCTTACAATTCCTCTGAAGTAAGGACAATTACCACTAGCTCCCGTCTCCCAATAATCTGTGAATTTTTTGCACGTTACATATTTGATTGAATCTTTTCTTTTTGTCTATGGCTGCTTCTGTTCTTGCTGGTCCGTTTGGATGATTTGACTGAAAATCTGGTTCAGACATGTTCTGGTTTTCACATAACAGCACATTTCACTTTCAGTCTGATATGATATCACTGCAACATGACTGGATCGTTTTATTCGTCTGTTTTTGAGTTCTCACAACATTTTTTCCACTGACTCAATCGTAGAAAGACTCCAGGTGAGTTGTATCGCTCACAAATGTTAGTCCTGCAGCCACATACCTGTACTCCCTGCACCCAGCTTGGTAGCCGCCCCTAACTTAGTCATGCAATAAAGATGAGCAGTAAAGATAGTTTACACAGGATTTTTTAATGTTCCTAACATGACTCATGCACCAGTCCCCCCCCCCCCCCCCCCCACTCCCCAGTCTTAGAAATATCTTGTTCCACCTACTTCACCTGTTGGTGTTCTCTGCTCTGGGGCATGTTTTCTCTGTGCCTTTGATGTTTGAGACCCTTTGTAGTGAAGGATCTTTTTTAGCTGCACACATCAGACTGGTGTGCTGCCACCAGGGTGTGTGTGTGTGTGTGTGTGTGTGGGGGGGGGGGGGGGGGGGGACAAGTGAGTACAAGAGTTTTAAAGACTAAACGACTGATGAGTACAGGGTCTTGTTTAGAGTCTCGTCTAAAAGAAACTTGTTTAGTTTGGTAGAAAATAGGGATAGATGTCCACAATCAGGCAAATCAGGAATGTTTTCTGGTCAATCACAAACTAAAATTAGCTCTCAGTTTTCCTGGATCGTTGCTGTTTCAGCTAGAAGTCTAGAGTCAGGATGACCAAGGAGCATTAGTGCCCAACGCGATGGAGACGATACAGAAAGGGTCACAACCTGGAAGACACGATGCCAGTATGTTTGAGTATCCTCATTATTCAAGCCATGCAGTGTTAATGTTGACACGAAATGTAATTTAGTTTGTCTTACCTCTTCTTTCCACTACACGTGAAAGCGTCGTGAAACGGCTGCGAAAAGTCGTACGCTGCAATGAGCCTTCGTTGTAGTGGATGACTTCTTTTCCACCAGCAGTAAAATTGAATGTTTTGGACGCACTCCAGAGGCGGAGGGATGCTATCATTACGTTTTGATCCTTTTTTACGCGCTACGCTTCCAAAACACGTTAACTGCACAGTTTAGGTCTGGCCAAACACAAAATCAGTGTAGAAGATCCGGAAACGTTCCAAATAAAATCAGAATCAGAAGGGTTTTATTGCCACATGTGTGAGAATCACAACATTAGGAAATTGCTGCAGAACTTGGTGCAAGGAAAAATAAATGATGAGCAACTTTGGAATCAAGAAATAAACACAATGAAATGATAATTATCAGGGATGTGTATTGTTGAAATTCTGGCGATACGATACATATCACGATACAGGGGGGACGAAACGATATATTACGATATATATAAGATACATTCAGTCAGACGTTACAAGCAATTTTTTTTTACTGAATTTATTGTAAGAATGTTCAATAAACTGTCCAAACTGATATGTAACATGTTTAACATGAGGTATCTGACCCATGATGGAGGGATTTACATTTTAAATGGTGGAAACAAAACCCGTTGCACACTGCTGCCAACTAGCGGGTGGCGATTGAATTGCACAAAACGAAAAGAATATACACAAATGTTTGCATGTAAATTCTTTCAAAGATTAGATACACAGCCTTTGAATACCGATGTAATAATCGCAGGGAAAAAATCACGATATATTGCCATATCGATATTTCCAATACACAGCTTTTGAATATCGATATAATATTGCTGGAAAAAATATCACGATATATTGCCATATCGATATTTTCTTACATCCCTAATAATTATATAGGGAGTCAATAATTAGAGAAGCGGCTACTTCATACAAGTCAGAGAAGATACTGGTCAGAGCGGGTCAGTTCAGGTGCAAACACTCGGGCAGTATGTCCTTTCCTGTGGGACGTCCGTAAGCAACGAGTACGCACAACAGGAAGTAAACCACAGCCCTTTTGGAGACATGCAGCTGTCTCTCCTTGCGTTTTATTGTGTGGGCTTCTGAATTCACGCGTTGTGTTGCAGATCTCATGTGATTTTGTTACCTCACGGGATCAGCTGTGTGGAACGCTTTTGCTCCCATTTCGTCAAGAAAAAAAAATCCATGTGTATTCAAAACCAGTGGCGGCTGGTGAATTATTTTTTTGGCGGGGCGCAATTGAACCGAAGTTGTGGCGAAAAGATCATGCCAGCCGGGATTTGCATGACCTTGTTATGAGAAGGTGCAAATGAATAATGAGGTTTTTATTTATCTGTGATGGTTAGACAGCTGTCATCAACTGTCTGTCTCCTGGAGCTCGGGTCTGTCCTAGACTTTGTCTCCATCTTATCTTCATGAGGAGGAAGTTCTTGAGGGCTGTGTCATGCTGATAGCGACTGGCCCGCCTCTTGCATGCTCTTGAAGTGGTTTCTTTTTTGTAAGAGGAAGCAATTTGCTGCCCCCCCCCCCCCCCCCCCCACACACACACACACACTCACTCACACATTCACTCACTCACACAAGCTCTTTTAGCTGCATGGTCTGAGCAGCTTTCGTGTCTGAGGATGATTAGGTTGCTCATCCTCAGATGTCCCCGCCCGGCCCATGCACCTGCCTCTCCTTAATGAAGGCCGACTCAGGTGTTCCTGCTTTGAAGCTGCTGCCCTGTTGGGACTCTGAACTTAAGGGAGCAGCCCTATGAAGACGTTACAGGCACAAATCTCACTCATAAACCTTCATCTTAATGCTGGTTTGAACATCTCATCTCTGCGTTCGGAGAACAGCTTCATGTGTCATCAAGGCCCCCCAGTCCCATAAACCCTGCTTGCTCTGAACATGTAAAGATTAGGTGTGTGTGTGTGTGTGTGCTGCTGTTGCAGCATACATGAAGTGATGAGTGGATTGAGCAGTTTGGGATTAAGAGCAGAGCTAGAAGCAGATCCTGATGAACTTCTAGAGTCCACCATGGCTGTTTTAGGGTAAGCGGATGTTCCCTCTAACCTCCTGGGATGGAGCTGCTGCAGTGCAAATGTGCATAACAGCAGATTGTGTAAACGGGTTGGTTCTGCTTGTTGTCTCCATGACAGATGGTTCTGCTGACAGCGGGGAGCTGGACCTGAGTGGGATAGATGACGGTGAGATTGATCTGGTACGTACCTGCTGTTTAATGAGCTTCAGTCGATACTAAACCGTTCAGCCATTCTGAACTAGGCTCAGAGAAGAGTTACAGGAAATGTCCTGGCCTAGAAAGCAGGTATTATTAATGTTATTATTGTTATTTTTATTATTACATCTGTTTGTGAGAATTGAATTAAAGCTTGTGAATTCTGTGGATGCTCCTACAGGGACAATCATAAATGTGGAAATGATGTATCACCTTACTGTTTTGTTAAGGAATGAATAATAAAATGGAATCAAGGAATTGTAAAAAAAAAAAAAAAAAAATCCTGTTTTCAAAGATCTGAAAAAAATAAAAACCCATCAGGCAAACACAAGATAGATGCTATGAGTAAGTACTCCTTCCTGTCTGTAGGTGATGGGTCAGGGTGTGATCACACGGATCATCATCAGGTGTGCTGCTCCGGAGCATACAGGCATGTGTTCACACAAGGAGGAAAACCATAATCAATGACTTTAGAGAAGCAGCTTATTGTTTTTTGCATTGGTCTTAATTGATATTCCAATATTCTGAGATACTGAATTTGGGATTTTCATTAGTTGTCTGTTATAATTAGGGATACACCGATACTGGTATCGGTAAAAGTTAACCGATACCAGGAACCAATACCAGTGCAATTGCCTGAAAGTTGCTTTACTGTAACTTGTCATTAATGTTCGCCTAATATTTAAGCTTTGTGATCATTTCTATGAATATATTTTATTTTTTATCTACCTCACAGTCTTTTTCTGTTGAAAGCAGAGGAAATAATTAAACCTGTACTCCAATTGAAAGCGTTTTTGTGTGGTAGAAGTATCGGTAATCTGTACCAGTGTAGGGTTTAGGGAATTGAGTGTTTTAAGAACTAAATAAATATATTACCTCTACTTATGACCAATAAGCTGTGATACTCTATTTAAATATAAAATATCAACCTGCTTGGTCTTTACTGTGTTTATCAGAAGATTCTAGGATTCTTTCTTTATTAAGGGATTGTACACACTTCGTTTTGATTCAGAAAACAGTCAGGTTAAAAAAAGTAAGAATTTATTTTACCAACAATTAAAACATGACAAGTTAACTAATGTTTACTGTGATGGATGGAACTGGATGTGATGTATGAAACCTGTGTGTGAATGCGGTGTTATCAGAACTTCCGTATCTAGGAGAGCTGAGTTCTGGGTGTAAAAGAATTTGGTTTGCATTAAGCTATGAAGGTGTTTGTTATCAAAACACATCAGACGCAATCTGTCATGTCTACATACCCACTCGAAGACCCTCGTGATAGATCCGGAATGTCGAAGTCCTCGGACTTCCAGGCACCGAGGTCCGTAGAAGAAACTGCGGCCTCACTAAACCAGTCTTAAGAGTTGTCTCGGGTCACGACAGATGGATGGAACCGCGCATCTGGGTCTCTTACGGAGTCTAAACAATATCAGCTTGTCCTGCAGGAACTGTTGCTGCATCAGCTTCGCAGGTGCAAAAAGGTTTTGACGATGTGTCAAAATCTTTGATGGTTAAAGAGGCTTTTGCTTCAGATGACCGGTCTGAAGCTTTCTCTAGAACTAAGAGATCACCCAGAGTGATCCAGTTTTAATGTTCTCATGTTATAATTTGTGTAGCCAACCAAAGGCTGACAAGTTGAGGAATGGTTACCAAGACAACCTCAGAAACACGCCTTCTTTGAAACGGAGGCTCTGACTGGGATAAAAGACTATTTATGTGTCAGAGTTGAACTTAACCTTACTTTGTCCTTGTGTGGGTGCAAATGGTGATGACCTTGTCATGTAAACAACATAACATTCATTTCACACTTCAGTCATTGAGCACAGATTAATGAAACATTTCATTATATCATAATTATTATAAGTAGCAATAAACAAATGTTTATTTAATGATTACCTAGCTTATAAGTTGTAGAAATTCATATTTAATTTAGGAAATCGTTCTTTTATTTAGCAACTGATCCGAGCTGCGAGTGTTCCTTATATGGAGGCATGAAGACCTGAAAGATTGGACCTTGAGGAGAGAATGTTATTGTTGACATGTCGTTATCTGTGTTCAGCTGCAGAGACTCTGAGCTCCAGCTGATGGGATGAAGGCTGTCCAATTTAAAGGGGACACTTGCAGTCTTGTGTCTCCTTTTTAACCAGATGTTGGATGATCAAACTTTACCTAAAAACTGACCATTGCTGGACGTTACACCAGCGAGTACTCAGATCAAAGTATCGGAATCGCATTGGTTTGGAAAAAAGTGGTGTCGGTGTATCCCTAGTTCTAATCGTCAACAGTAAAGAAAAGAACATTTGAAATGTGTCAGTCTGTGTGTCACGAACGAATCTGATGTACAAGTTTAACTTTTTTAATTACCCACTGTAATAAATCAACTCTGGTCTGATTTTCCACTTTTATGACCAGCACCTGTGTATAAATATAAATAAACGTGCCTGTGGGACATTTAAGACATGTATCTCTAACCCTTAACACACACACACACACACACACACACACACACACACACACGCACACACACACACACACACACACACACACACACACACACACACACACACACACACACACACACACACACACACACAGACTCAAGGTCCAGTTTACAATAGAAACTGTTACGGATGCAGTATAAAAATGAACGCTGTAAAACACAAATATAAACACCTACGTGTGCTAGCACACAGCTGGACCGGTGTCTCTGAAGCTCAGACTCACCCAGATCCAAACACAGCAGCAGCTCCGCAAGGTCAGCGCTTCGTGGGTCCAGACCCCAGCCCGACTAAAGGGACACCTTCTGCTGGAGGAGGTTCTCCATCAGCGCGGTTTTACCTCCCTGTTAGTGACAGTAGACTGAATTGTTATTAATAGTTGTCGTTGGTCTGTGGATTATTGACTCCAGATGTTGTCCACCACATCACAAGTAAAGCCGAGTCCATGCTTCTCCTTTTCTGATCTGCAGTATTTGTTAAGTGAAAAGGAAATCCGCGTGAAGACGGCCCTCTGGATGGCTGAAAACTCCGACTACCTCAAAGAGCAGAAAGGTAGCTGGGGGTCAGACATGTTGCCTCGGGGGGCGGGGCATTGTTCATGCCTTTGACTGTTTTTGTTTACAGAAAAGGAAGCAAGGATAGCAAAGGAGAAGGCGCTAGGTGTCTACAAAGAGAAGAAGGTTTGTTGTGCTTTATCTAAACAACATCTAGTTCCTGATGCTTCGTTTGTCTAAAAATGTGTTTGTTTTTGTTGGGAGCAGCCCAGAAGCGCCACGAGGAGGCGTCCTCCAATCAGAGCCAGCACCGCTGATGAGGCCATCGGGAAGATGTTGGAGCAGAAGAAGATCTCCTCAAAGATCAACTATGACGTGTTGAAGGACCTGAGCACAAAACCGGGCAGCAGCCCAGCTCACTCCGTCACTTCCCCAAAGAGGCAACCGTCTGTTACCGGGGCAACACGACACAGCCGCAACCAGGCTCGAGGTTCGCTGAGCCTCAGCATGCCGCTCAGCACTCTGGGAAAAAGGTAGGTGTGCTTCATCGTTCCTGCCGCGGCAGACTGGGAGGTGGTGGCTTCTGTGGACCGTGACCCGGCTGAAGGTTCCTTAGAACAATCATGTTTTAGTGGTGGGTTCTCTTGAGGCTCCTGATGCGGGCTCTCTGGTTGACCCATGTCTCAGCAGTGTCCTCATACATGCAGCTCTGGCCACTTTATTAGGTACACCTTTACCTTCAGAGCCACTTTAATTCAGGGTGTCACTGATCCATCCAGGTGTTAGAGATGTTCCTCCGAGGTTCTGGTCCACACATCCCTCTCCCCTCTGATTGGTTTCTGAATCCCCCTCTGTGGTGTTTTAGGGTAGATTCAGACCAAATCCTCTCAGTCTTGTGCCGATATCAAACAGCTGTTCTTAGTTGTGACTTCCATATTTACTCTGTTGAACCAGCTGATCACATCAGCTGAAAGGGAGCTCCATCTGAAGCACATAATCCATATGTAATTATGTCTGGGTCCGCTCCGCCCTGATCCAGGCCCTCACACCTTTAGATAATCTCCAAAGCAAAGAGCAGATGGAGCCGATGGCCGCCGCTGCCGCTCTTCCTCTGCCACCAGGCTCATACCCGAACGCTTCTGTCTCCTGTAATCGCCTGCAACGAGACGACAGATGTTCACGCTGCCGTTCCTCTCCTGTTGGGGCTTTCTCCAGAAAGAGCGTCTTCTCTGCCAGGATTTGTCCCGGGTTGCTGCTTCGTCGGTGTGAATCCACGCTGAGCCGTTCAGTTGCCTAATGGGTTCATGCTGCTCCGAGGACGGCGGAGACGCTTGTCTTTAACTTGGTTTAGAGTCGGGACAAGTAGCTTTTCTGTATGGCTCAGTTTTAAACCATCGGCTGGTTTTAGGGGCCATCTTTATAGGACTCGTTCAGCCTGCTCCAAAGAGACAGGATTTTTACCAAATGAGACGTGAAAACTACGTGCTTCATCGTTTCATTTGCAGTCACAAAGCTGCTGCAGGAGGTCGTTTTATTTTTAAACGACACAAACTGAAAGATAAGGACAGTACCGGTAAAAAAGCTGAGATGTGAGAGGAAATGAGGAGATTTCGAGGAAGAACTGAAGTTAAAACCTCACATTTATCATCCTTAAATCCGTGAACAGCCTCTCCTCTTCCTCTGAAGACATGATGGGTGTCACAAACGCTGACACGCAGACACACCCTCCCAGAGGACGGGAATTTGATGCTTAATTGATTGATGTGACTAATCTGTCCTGTTAAATGGAGGTCAGAGGTCAAGCTGATCACAGTGGCGGGTTTTATTTATCCTAAGACAACATTTCTCAGGGACACTTGAAGAGCCGTAATGATGTTTTAAAGATCCTCGGCGACATGGCTTCTGGTTTAAATCAGGGATGTCTGATATCGGCCTTTGTCAAGCGACGCATCAGGTGCTGTAGCGCGTTGCATGATGGGATAGCTAGGTGACGCTTAGTGTTGCTGTGAGCTTATAAACCTGCAGAAGATGGTACACTCCTGTTGTGTGAAGGGCTGCCATGCGATCTCCATAAGAAGGTAAAAGGTTAAGTGTAGGCTGGGATCGCGTTAACCGGATATTTCCCGTTTTTGACCATTTATTCTGATGGAGAAATCTCAAGGCTGTTGGTCATTCTGACAGACTGGAATCACCCCGACGCGTGCAGCTGTGCAGACTTTTTAAACGTTACGACATCATGGAGGTAACAAAATCTATCAACAAACATCAGAACATCTGAGCGTCATCTCAGACCTGGACACCATGATCAAATCAAATCAAATCAAAATCAAATCACTTTTATTGTCACGTCACATGTGCAGGTACACTGGTACAGTACATGTGAGTGAAATTCTTGTGTGCAAGCTTCACAGCAACAGAGTTGTGTAAAAATACAGTAATGTAAAAACATGTAAAATATAAAAATGGCTAATCTAAATATACAAATGAATAAAGTAAACAATAAGATATGAGATATAAAATGTACAGAGGTTGGTATGTGCAAAACAGTGGCATTAATGTACAGTATGGAGTGTGTAATGTTGGAGTTTCAGGAGTGAGGGTGAGGTGTCTGGTTGGGTGAGGTGTCTGTGAAGTCTAGCACCAAGATCAGCAGCGCTTTGAGGAGCTGTGGAGAGCAGCTCTGTCTGGGGGTCACAGCCCAGCAGCAGAACCAGAACACAGCAGGTAAAAGGTTCCTGCTTAAGCTAAATAGATTAATTGCAACCTCAAGTGGAGGAGTTTAAGTTTCTCGGGGTCTTGTTCACGAGTGAGGGTAGGAGGGATCGGGAGATCGACAGGCGGATTGGTTCGGCGTCTGCAGTGATGCGGACGCTGAGCCGATCTGTCGTGGTGAAGAGGGAGCTGAGCCAGAAATCCAGGCTCTCGATTTACCGGTCGATCTACGTCCCAATCCTCACCTATGGTCATGAGCTTTGGGTAATGACTGAAAGAACGAGATCGCGGATACAAGCGGCCGAAATGAGTTTCCTCCGTAGGGTGGCCGGGCTCAGCCTTAGAGATAGGGTGAGGAGCTCGGACATTCGGGAGGGACTCGGAGTAGAACCGCTGCTCCTCCGGATCGAAAGGAGTCAGTTGAGGTGGTTTGGGCATCTGGTCAGGATGCCTCCTGGACGCCTCCCTGGGGAGGTGTTTCGGGCATGTCCTGCCGGCAGGAGGCCCCCGGGTCGACCCAGGACACGTTGGAGAGGTTACATCTCCAATCTGGTCCGGGAACGCCTTGGGGTCCTGCCGGAGGAGCTGGTGGAGGTGGCCGGGGAGAGGACGGTCTGGAGCTCCCTAGTTGGGATGCTGCCCCCGCGACCCGGACCCGGATAAGCGGAGGAAGACGACGACGACGACGAATTGTAACATTAATATGTTGCTGGTCAGCTAGTTTAGACTGAATATTAATGAAAAATGAATGAAGATGTAATTGTGAATAAAATGACGGGAGGAAACAATCATGACCGTTTTAAACTCTGTCGGTCAAACTGAAAACAAACATGTCTACCCTGACCTCTGCTGTAGGTCATGTTCCTGTACCTGTTGTAATGTATACTGATGAGAACTCGTTTAATTACGGCCCATCCAGAAATAAAACCTGGAGCAGCGCCTGTGCTAGTGGAGTCGTGATTCTGGACAACTACTCTTTACTTTTACTCGATCATAAACACGAAGTAGTAGAGCTACGCTAACTCAGGGGATTTTCAGCAGTAATGAAACGTCTGAGCTCCGTTTGTCTCCTTTGAGGTCGTAGGGATCTACGATGTCGACTGTAGAGTTTCTGAAAACACCGATCTCTGTCCTCCTTCAGAAGTTTATCCCTGTAGGGATGTTCATCCTTGTTCTTGTTATCCATCCTTTTGATTCTTCTTCTGCTTCAACTCCAGCTGCAGCGTCCCTTAGCAACGAGTCATTCACCTCAGATGGAGCTAAGGGGGTGTGGTTGACCTGCAGGTCACGTGTCTGACAAGGACAGATTATCTTTATAGGATTAATACCTGTCAATATTGATGTAAATTGTAATAACAGAAAATATTGGTTTTTCCTCCTTTAATAACAGCTTTTACATTAAATACACGTGTTATATACGTCAAACTCTTCTGATAGATCGGATGTAAAGTTTTTAGGATATCTCAACTTGTTTGGCACAGCTCTTGAAGAACTGCCCTGTGTAGTGATCGTGCTGTCCTCACAGCTGTGTAGCCAACTCTCCCCATCAGAAAGTAGCTGAAGCTGACCCAAAAGGTCACCCAGATGCCGCCAGATGACATCACGTGCTAATTAGCATAATGTCATCACGCCACGTTGATGACAATTTCCCCCTCAATGTCTAGAAAAATTATTTGTACACATTTCCTTACTCGGTTTGGAGCGCAAATGGTTTATTTGTTGTTTATCTGCAGGGAAGATCTACAAGTTCTTCAGAAAGTAGCGAAGGGTCCTCAGAAATGTGGCTAGGTTTGCTGCTTGGCGCCTTTTGGGGAAAAAAAGTAGTTGAGGGGAGTCGAAAAGTAGTTAGGAACAGCGACAAAGTCCCTAAATTGGCAACACTGTGCGTAGCTAGCCAGCTAGCTAACAAGTTAAAGAACAAACATGGCTTCCCCCAAGACTTGGTTTTATTATCTGAGGATTTTTATAAAGGTGTGATCACCATAGCAGTAATGTACAGGAAAAAAGACATTACCAGCTAATGCAGACGCTTAACAGTTAGCATAGCTTAGCATGCGTACACTGCTTGTATTTAATCAACTTTAACACACATTCAAACATTCCCTACACACACCGATAGTTACCAAAACAAACTCATTTACTTTTACTATTTATTAACTTGTTAATCAGAACTTTTCTTCATCATGAACTTAATAATAAAGCATTCCGGAGAGTTTGTCAGGATTATCTCACACAGGATGAGATTCAGCTGCTGATGAGACAAATGAAGCATGACACCTTTTCTTATTGATTCATTTAAACTGACGTAGTTGTGAGTGTGCACAGATAAAGTTTACAGTTTAAGCGTGAGTAATAGGAGATGTGTAACATTAGTGACCTAAAACAGGGCTACCAGCTCCTCACATGCTCTATGAAGGAGCATTACCCAAAACCTGTGAGTGATGTTACTATTACTAATACCCCTCTATACATGTTGGGGGCTGTTGATGGCCCCATACTCAGAAAAATCCTAGGTCCACTACTGCTGGTGCTAACACTCTGGCTCCAAAATCCCAACATGGTTCTATTTGCACTGACGTTAGGAGATGGAGTCCACTGGTTTGTCCTTTTTCATGTCCATAGTTTGACCTCAGAAGTCCATGAATTATAAAGGAACATGCAATCAGAACTTCCAGAGCATGATCAGACCGGATGAACCGGTTTAATATCTACGTTTGAAACATGTGAGTGGCGTAGCGCTGGGACGCTCCTACTTTAGCTTGTATCTGTTAAACTGACTGTGTGTGCGTTGCAGATGAGCTGTGGTGGCCATCTTGATTAA